AGCTAGTCTTGGTCAGGACTATCTTAACTGTAGAATTTGACCTTTTGTGCCTGTTTTGGGTTGATGGGAGAAACCGGAGTGCCCAGAGGAAACCAACCCAGACTCAAGGACAACATGCAAACGCCACACAAAAAGGAAACATGATCTATGTTATTACTTTGCCTTGACGGTTCCTCTGAGCATATATTCCCATGAAGACTTTTTTTTGGTATGTAATTAAATACATACCATTTAAGGCAAAGCAATAATGTCTGACATCTCCATAGAGACAAACAGAATGTTCTTTATATAGATCCATTATGACCCCAAGCGAACCGTTTGAAAAGTGTAACTAAACACCTAAACTCCGCCCACAACCACGTTTCAAATAGAGCTGCTGAAGTGGGCGGAGCCTGGAGGACTAAAGGGAAGAGTGAGGGGGGACGGATGGGGTCTGGAGGACTAAAGGGGAGAGTAAGGGGGCAGAGTCTGGAATACTAAAGGGGAGAGGGCTGGGGTCTGGAGGACTAAAGGGGAGAGTGTGGAGGAGAAGGGGCAGGGTTTGGAGGACTAAAGGGGAGAGTGAGGGGGCAGTGTCTGGAGGACTAAAGGGGAGAGGTAGGGGCGTGGGAACTGAAGGACTAAAGGGCTCCCCCTTTAGTCCTTCAGGACTAAGGGGGAGAGTCAGGGGGAAGAGGGTGGGGTTTAGAGGATTAAAGGGGAGGGTAAGGGAGGGCAGGGTCTCGAGGACTAAAGGGAGAGTGGCGGGGGGAGTAACTGGAGGACTAAAGGGGAGAGTGAAGAGGGGAGGAGCAGGGGCAGGGCCTGCAGGCCTAACGAGGAGCATGAGGAGGGGTGGGGTCTCGGAGGACTAAAGGAGAGAGTGAGGAGAGGGGGAGACGCTGGGTCTGGAGGACTAAAGGGGAAGTGAGGGAGGAGGAGGGGCATGGTCTGGAGCTATGAGAAAGAGTGTGATTGGTTGAACAGGTATCCACACTTCAAACTCCTGGTTGTAATCAGGGCAGTCATGAGTGATGTCTCCAGGCACTGCCGGGACACACCCATTTTGAATCATTTTTGTTTGTTTTGTTGAGGTTTTGTGGTTTTATGTATGAAAGAGAGAGCATAAGGGAGAGCAGGGGAGAGAGGAGGCTTAGAGAGACTAAAATGTCAGTGAATGAGTTATTTGAGTTTGATATCTTGATATCAGATTCCTTTGACAAATTCAGTGTATTTATTGCTTTTTGTACAGATAATGCTGCTGCTTTTTATTGAGTGGTTTAAAAGCCTTTATAGGGACTGGTGTGTGATTTAGCCTGGGCTATAAACACTGTGATACCTGCATCATATTACTGAATTGTTAATCTATGTTTGTGTATCTGGCCCTATTCAAAGAAACAATAAATTAAAAATACAATACAATACATGCACGAATCATTTATGACACTTTCAACATAACATAATGAGGCAAAACTATTGTAATATCATTCAGCTCATATTAAAGTCTATTTTATGTTTCTCATTTCAACATAGTCTGAACTGCATATACACGGGGCAGGAAAAAAAAAAGCATTCCATACATATTACAGTTTCTTTCTCTTTTGTGTCAAATGTTAAAAATGGAATCTCTTTTATCTTCTCTTCCTGCTTTTGTCTCTGGCAGCTTTTTCCAATTGTATGTTTTTTTTCTTTTTTTCTATTTGCGTCTACCTCCTCTATAAAAGATGTTATGAATTATGATATGAACATTTGAGCATGCAGCGGCGCTTTGATCTGACTGTACAGTGAAAGTGCAGGGCAAATTCCCCAGAGATGTGACAGACGTGTACTCTGTCTGATTTGAAAGGCTGTTATTCAAATGTGGAGTGGCAAAGGAGGAAAAATCATGCAAAGATGATTTATTTTAAGCCTTTAACTACAGCATAATATTGTTAGCTTGTGAAATTTTTACATAGAAACTTTTTAAGAATTAATTTGTATTTTTAATTTTATTTTATTGTGATAGAGTTGTTGTGTCCTTTGGCAAGACTCTGTAATTGCCTATGTATGGTATGCGCATTGTTGCAGATGGTCAGAGTGCACACTGGTGATAAAGAAATTGCACTGCTGTGTTTTGTCAGTCCCACACTGCCAGCTCAGTCCTTGTTATTTTGGCCAACATCATCAGAGGTATAATAATCCCTACAATAAACGCATAGACAGACTAGATTATAAATGGAGTGGCAAAGGAGGAAAAATCATGCAAAAAATTATTTTTTTCAGCCTTCACCTATAGTATAATATTGTTAGCTCATCAAAATTTTATATAGACATGTTTTAAGAATTTATCTGTATTGTTAATTTTATTTTATTCTGGTATACGTGTTGTGTCCTTTGGCAAGACATTGTAATTGCCTATGTATGTATGCTTGTTGTTGTAGGTAGACAGAGTGCACATTGGTGATACAAAATTGCACTGCTGTGTTTTGTCAGCCCCACACTGCCAGCTCAGTCCTTGTTATCTTGGCCTATGTCATCAGAGGTATAATACTCCCTACAATGAAAACATAGACAGACTAGATGGAGTGGAGTGGCAAAGGAGGAAAAAAATCATGCAAATATTATTTTTTCAGCCTTCAACTGTTGTATAATATTGTTAGCTCATCAAAATTTTACATGCCTTCATGTATAATATTGTTAGCTCATTAAAATTTTACATAGCATTTTTTAAGAATTTATTTGTATTTTAAATTTAATTTTATTGTAGTGTAGTTGTTGTGTCCTTCGGCAAGACACTGTAATTGCCCCATGTATGAGTTGTTTTGGGTGGTCAGAATGCACACTGGTGATGAAGAAATTGCTCTGCTATGCTTTGTGGGCCCCACACTGCCAGCTCAGTCCTTGTTGCCTTGGCATATGTCATCAGAGGTATAATACTCCCTACAATGGAAGAATAGACAGAATAGATTAGCAGATTTTTTTCAGCTTTTAACTATGGTATAATATTGTTGGTTCATCCAAATCATACACGGATTTTTAAAAACATATTTATGTGTATTATGTATTCATTTATTTTGTTGTATTGTTATTGTGTCCTTTAGCAAAACACTGTAATTGCTTATATATGGAGTGCGAGTTGTTGCAGGTGGTCAGGGTGGCTTTGGATAGAGGATTTGCACTGATGTGTTTTGTCAGCCCCACACTGCCAGCTCAGGTCATGTTTTCTTAGCCTATGTAATCAGAGGTATAATACTCCCTACAATGGAAGCATGGACAGATGAGATGAGAAGATTCTTTTTTTCAGCCTTTAACCATGGCATGATATTTAAGCTCATCCAAATCATACACAGATTTGTTTTTTAAAGTATTGTCAGGTTTAAACCCATATATATAATTTATTCATTTATTTTGTTGTATTGTTGTTGTGTCTTTTAGCAAAACATCGTAATTGCATATGTATGGTGTGGCTTTGTATGTTTATCTGGTGGTGATGGAGGAATTGTGTTGTGTCAGCCCCACACTACCAGATCAGTTTGTGTTTTCTTAGTCTTTGTCATTAGAGGTATAATACTCCCTACAATGGACGTATAGCCAGAGTGGACAATACTAACAGTGTCTCAAGGATTCACTTCTCCAGGTGCATTTATTCTACAATTCTGTTAGTCTATCCTGAGGCAGTGTGGAGTGAATGAATAATGTTCTAAATTGTAAAATGACTTTGAGCTGATTATTAAATATAGGTCAGTGTCATTGTTGTTAATTAGCAGTGCTGTTTTGTGCCACATATTATTTGAAAAACATGTCTTTTTCAGTGGTAGGAGACTTTTTGCTATCTTAAAGCGGTACCAAGTTCTTGTGATGGTTGGAGCGTCTGTCGTCTCCCTCTACTGCCTCTGGGTGGAAAAACAGCCTCACAATATGACTGACACCCAACTCGAAGAAACAGCGGGTGTTTCCCAATTGCCAGGGTCCTCGGTTTCTGAACCACTTCGGACAGATCCACATTGTCCGAGCCATCACGGCCTCCCTGCGCTCGACTCCACAATACACCACAACCTTAGTTTTTATTCACTTTATTTAAGAAGTAAAATGCATTATAAATAATTTCCTATTTTAGGCACATTGCTGCTGATCACACTATTAGAACAAATTAATTTAAATCAGGACAAATGCAGCAAAATCTATTACACAAGGGGACTGGGAATACAATTAGCCTATCAACTGAAAATGTTCCAGCCTGTGTATTTATTTATTTATTTAGGCTAATTATCAGCCCAACTAACTCAATAACAGATGATTCACTCAGCCTTTGTTTTTCACATCGTTTTAATGCTTGTGGACATCTAAAAACACCTCTGAACACGTTATATTTGTAGAAGCACTGATGTTTATTAAAATTCAGAGTTTTATCGCTTTGGATTTGGTCACGTGACACGATGCAGTCGCTCCCTCCAGAGCCTGTTCCACGTGCGCTCCAAGACACTTGATTCTGCTTCAGAGGAGCCGACTCTGGATGAGGGCTACAAAGTGGTCTTTGGAGGAAGAGCCTGGGAATTGAGAAACACCCTTTGTATTTTTTCATATGGGAGCTACAGGAGAAGCTCTAGTGCTCAGAGTTACTTCATTCTGCTGTAAAGAATGTGCATTGTGTAACTTCTGCTGGAGGGTCTGTCTCCATGGAGATGTTACTGATCTGTCTGAAATGTTCCACAGTGGTTTCAAACCTTTCTATCTTCATGGAAACCAAACCAGGCCAAGTTACATGTCAGATCACAGTCAGAATGTCTGTTTTTCATGGTATTTTTGAGCTATAAAACCACTGTTAATTGAATAAATGTAAGTTAGAGCTGTTTAATGTCACACTGTGGAACATTCCAGGCAGAGCAACGACATATCCATAGAAACAAATAGGTGAAGAACCCCCAACCAAAAGTTATATAGTTCTGCTTTAAGTATGGGAAAACTGCAGTTATGTGTATGTATATATTGTTTTGGTATAAAATGTAACTCTTATCTTACGCCTGTGTCTCTGTGTTCTTCAGCCGGACGAGTTGACCAACGCTCTGGAGATCAGTAACATCGTGTTCACCAGCCTCTTCGCTCTGGAGATGCTCCTCAAAGTCCTGGTGTACGGCCCATTCGGATACATCAAGAACCCATACAACATCTTTGACGGCATCATCGTCGTCATCAGGTCAGACCACGCTGACATTTCACTTTTCATTTCATTTATTTGAAATCATTAGAAAAGGACATTAAAAGTGCGAAGAGAACAGCTTGACCTTTATTCATATTTAACTTTCTGTCTGGAGAGAAAATAAGAAAAAAAATATTCCATGATGGTCACTTTTCAACATTCTATTTTATACCCTGTTTATATAATTAAACAGTACAGTATGTATATGCGCACTCTTGCTGGTTTAAAAAAAAAAAAAAAAAACAGAACCTGTGTCACCAGAACCTTAACTTACAAATAGAGGACACATCCAAGTTTGTCTTATTCTGTCCTGCACGGGTTCATTTTTGGAGACCCGCACCTGCCCACACCCGCCTAGTACAGCACCACACCTGCCCATTAACCCATGATTATATCAAATTTAAATCCGCACCACCCGGACCTGTTAACATTACAAATGTTACCCTCCTGTGCCTGTGATAAATCGGGGTCAGCCCATTAGTCCCACAACCCAATAGCCCAGGACTAACCCAGGACTGAACCAGGACTAACCCAGGACTGAACCAGGACTGAACCAACACCGCGTCATTAGTGGATTATAAAGCCGATCGCCAGGACTACACCGGGACTACACCGGGACTACATCAGGACTACACCAGGACTGAACCAGGATTACACCAGGACTACACCAGGACTACACCAGGACTACATCAGGACTGAACCAGGATTGAACCTACACCATGTCATTAGAAGATTATACATATATACACGGAGCAACTGCAGAGCTGATCACCAGGACTACACCAAGACTACACCAAGACTACACCAGGACTACACCAGGACTACACCAGGACTACACCAGGACTACACCAGGACTACACCAGGACTACACCAAGACTACACCAGGACTACACCAAGACTACACCAGGACTACACCAGACTACACAAGACTACACTACACCAGGACTACACCAGGACTACACCAGACTACACCAAGACTACACCAGGACTACACCAGGACTACACCAAGACTACATCAGGACTGAACCAGGATTGAACCTACACCATGTCATTAGAAGATTACACATATATACACGGAGCAACGGCAGAGCTGATCACCAGGACTACACCAAGACTACACCAGGACTACACCAGGACTACAAGAGAACTACACCAGGACTGGACCAGGTCTAAACCAGGACTAAACCAGGAGCGCACTGAAGTCTCTCTCTCAGCCTGGTCCATCGTTCCAGGAAAAGACCGGGAAATGGCACTTGTTTCCAGGGCAATGGATGTCCTAGATGCAAGTCAAGTATTTTTCTCCAGTTCATCGTTCATTTGATTCACCTGATCCACCGTGTGTAATCACTACCTGCCCGCACACCTGCCTGTAAAATTCTAGAACGTTAAAACCTGCCTGTTTCAGCAACTATTTGCCAGGCCAGGCCTCACGGGAAAGTTCAGAACCTCCACAATTCCCTCACTACACTAGCACTGATTCATGATTGGCTGGAGGTTTATGTAGTGACCATTAGGATCAGAAAGAGGCATTTTAGGTTTAAACCAGCTGGATTTCAGCACTGAAACTGGCAACCCAAATGAGAGAGTCACGTGAGTCTCATTCTGTTTTCTGTCTGGATAATCTTCTTGAACCAAAACACCAAATTATAACAACAACAACTTGTCAATCATGTCTCATGTTTTTGTAATTGAGAATAAATCATCATAATGTAAACACCTAATGAATCTAATCATAATTGTTAATAGTACAAGCCATATTTGATTTGAATATATTTACCTCATATCTGGGAATTTAAAATCACTCTTACATACACTTCCTTAAAATGTCCTAGATTTAAGTTCAGATGTTCTTCCTCACACATGTTTGAATAACTCTTATTATTAGACTGACAACATCTCCAAAGCTCAAAATGCTCTGTTCCATCTTGTGAGGACATGAAGTGGGATTTTTCAAGTTAACAGTTACCTTTTACCTTTTGTTTAGTAGAGATTTGCTAGTTTTCCACGGCTGAAATTGTCAAATGGATTCTAGTGAATGTGTATGAAGTTTAAAAACACACTGGAGCACTTCCTGTATTACCACATGACATCACAAGGTTGGAACAGAGTGTTTTCAGTTCAAGTCTTCATGATTATTATTCCGAAACAACACTTACTGACCTTGTATGTATTTCTTTTCCAGTGTGTGGGAGATCGTTGGCCAGCAGGGCGGCGGTCTCTCGGTTCTCCGTACGTTCCGCCTGATGCGCGTTCTGAAGCTGGTGAGGTTCATGCCGGCTCTGCAGAGACAGCTCGTGGTCCTCATGAAGACCATGGACAACGTGGCCACCTTCTGCATGCTCCTCATGCTCTTCATCTTCATCTTCAGGTAAAGGACACAGGACAAGTTTGGAGATACTGCAATGGTTTAGGAAAGAGGGAAATGAATGAATGAATGAATGAATAAACAAATAAATAAATAAAGTACAAATAAATAAATAAAAGAACTAATACAAAAAAAAATAATAAAAAGTACTAAAAATAAAATATAAAGTACAAAAATATATAAAAATAAAAATACAAAAAATGTTTTAAAAGTAAAAAAAAAAAAAAAAAGTACAAAAAATAAATAAATTAATTAAAAAGTACAAAAAATTAAATAAAGAGTACATAAAAAAAAATTGTTATAAAAATAAAAAGCACAAGAAATAACAAGTGCAAAAAAAAAAAAGTTGAAAAAAAAAAAATACACAAAATTTAATAAAAAATAAAAAGTACAAAAAATTTTAATAAAACGTGAATGCGAAAGAATAGTTGATTGAAGCAGTCACTGGATGCTTACAGTTTACTCTTGGTATAATAATATTTTCAAAAGCCAAATGGATTTTACCTGCTATCAAAATATTATTCCATCTCTTTCTTGATAAAACCCACTATACATTATTGTAATTGCTAATATTTCTCCAGAAGACGGTAACAAAGCGGACAAAAAGAAACAATTTTGGCAGCTTTTCAGAACGGTGAAATCTGTTTTGCTATAGATCTCTTCCCAGACCCAATTTTCATTTCAGGATAATTAAATTGTCTTGCAGTAAAATGGTAAAATGTATTTATAGATTATTATTTAGACTAATCCTGGTACGATTTTGTCCATTGGTTATCGGGCCCATATTTCACCCTTCGCAGATTTATGTTATAATGTTCACAAACGTCACAAACATACCTGGAGTTCTTCTCTCAAACAGAAAACACTCTATACCACCTTGTGATGTCATGTGCTATTACAGGAAGTTCTCCATTGTGTTTTTAAACTCCATACACATTCACTAGAATCATGTGGATGATTTCAGTTGTGGAATTGCAGATTTCTACTGAACAAAAGGTAAAAGGAGCTGTTAACTTGAAAACTACCACTTTGTGACATCAAAAGAGGCAGAATAATAATGCAGGATTACTCAGACATGTATGAATGAAACAAAACACAACTCCAGGTTTGTTTTTGACAAGGTAACAACATTATAACATGACTAAAAGCTCACAAGTGTTCATTTTGTGTAATACAGGACCTTTAAGAAATGTGTCTCTACATTTTAGTTTGAACCTTGTGCACATGAAACATCATAATAAAAGTGTATTTCGTACTTACAAAGAAAATGAAGTCCATTGTAAGTGACAGTAATATATATTTTGAATTAGTAAAGTTTGTTCTTGCGTCAATAAAGTTGTCACTTCTCTCTGGTGCTGTCCGTGGTGCTGAACTTGGCAGAACATCCACTTCAGCACCACGTGTTGAATCAACTGCTCAAAACGAAATATTCTAGCTTTGGAATTGCGAAAAGTTTTCAAAATGTCATCTGAAATCCATGAATACACAAAAGGGGTTGTCATGGCGAACATGTTGCGTAGTATTTTAAAGGTGCATTGTGTAACTTTTCTCGTAGAGGATCCGTCATGCTTTTCTCCATGGAGATATTGTAGCTTTTTCTGGGATGTTTCACAGTATGGCATTAAACCTTTCTATCTTCATGGAGACCAAACCAGAGCAAGTTACAGGTCAGATCTGTGGAGAGGCGATGCCGCTCACAGTCAGAATGATTGGGTTTCTAGGTATTTATGAGCTATAAAACCACCTGTAATTGAATAAATGTAAAGGTAGAGCTGTTTAATGTCATACTGTGGAACATTTCAGGCTGAGCAATGACGTCCATAGTAACATATTACAAGTTAAATAGTGCACCTTTAATATTTTAGCACTGGATGTCCTCTGTCTAACTAATACCTAGGCAAAATTTGATTCTGTAATTTACTTGTTGGTGCTGTCAACAAAATGTGCCACTGTTGTTCACAAAAATGAGTGTATTGGAAAACTATTTTAATTTAAAGTAACTTTAGAATTTCTTTGTTGTAAAATTGAATAATTTTAAATTTTTTTTTTTTTTTGCAGTATCCTCGGAATGCATCTTTTCGGCTGCAAATTTGGCTCGGAGAGAGACGGAGACACACTTCCTGATCGCAAGAACTTTGATTCCCTTCTGTGGGCCATCGTCACTGTCTTTCAGGTAACACTGTTTTGTTGCATATTTAAAAAAAAAAAAAGTCAAGTTCAAATAATATAATATAAATTGTACTTAATATAATATAAATTATACTTAGAATGGTATTTCATCAAGACATATTTGAATAATTGTGTGTATTTAGGCTGTCTTAGGCTGTCTGTCACTTTGTAGATACTCATATCGATACTCATTTGAACAAGTATCAAAACAGGAAAAATGAAATATACTGGATATAAAAATAGGACACGATTTGACCTTGACCTTTGACCTCTATCGGGTCGTTTTTTAAATAGAAAGGTAATGTCCAGCAGACTCACAGCGTTTTCATGCTCCATTGTTCGAAACTGTGTGTGTCAGTATAGTTGGCGTACCACGATATGGTGCACTGACAAACGTTCCCCGCTGCGATAAAAGGCGTTAATATTTTTAATGCTTTATTTTCTTTGTAATTAATTAATTGTAATAAATGCATTAATGTCCCACCCCTAAAAATTATAATAATAATTATATCAAGTGTTCCATATTAATGACATAGCACTGGGAGAATTCTGTCCAAAAGTTTATTATTTCAACAAAATACAGGTGTTTTCCTTACATTTTTATTGATCAAATATTAATTACTGTGTACATTAGAGGAGTTTTGAACCAGTGTACTACATAGTTGCTAGGGAACAGGATGAAATTCTTAGTGAGATGTAATGATTTCCTGGCCTGATTCATCAGCTGGTTTTACTTTGTTTCACTTCGTACAAACCGTCTGACTTTAAAGTGCTGAACTTCATTCGCTCGAAGGTAGGCGGGTACTTTTTATCATTAAACCAATGGCTGCTATTTGGTCATGATGTATGTAATGCGCCCCTAACAGGGTTAACTGGTATATTAATCTTTTCCCAAATCCTGTAGGAAGAAGAACAATAACGTCTTTGCCCCTTGATAAAATTCACCAAACATTCTCTTTATTCCGGCTTTACATCCTCGATCTCGGGAATGGTTGGCAACACTGAATATATGACTCTTCGCTGATTGGCTGGTGCCCAAACTTGCACTTCCAGGGTTTTTCGAACCGTCTATTGTATTCTGATTCCTGACCTAGTTGCTGGAGATAAATGAAATCGAGCGGAGGCACTAGATGGCACCAGCCTGGATAATGATTTCCAACCAGAAGGTCAACTTTGAAACCAAAAAAAAATGGCCAAATCGGGACAAGATTTCAAACATTTGTAGTAAAATCTATACTCTAATGATCGTCGTAGTCCAATCTGTCATGGACACTTTAAATTCATACTCAAAGGCTGAATAGCTGGACCTTTAATTTAATTTCTTTCCGTTCATTCTTCACTGTCTTTTGCCCAATTAGCCCTGGTTTCATGCTCGCCCTCCCCGCTAACACAAGTCAGCAGAGCACTGACCCAGAACAAACGGAATCTGAACGGATCTTCCAATTATAATGTGCCCTTAAAACCCTCTCCTCCCATTTGTGAGCGAAAATATATCTCCCAAATCAATAAATCATTTCGTATCCAGCATTCTGAACTTGGTGGCCTACAATTATCCAAAGCAAGTTTTTTTTTTTTTCCCCTTATTCAGCGAGCAAAGCAAATGCCAAGTAAGATTAGTAAAACATGTAATTTAAGTCATGCATTTGTAGCCTATATATAGAGATGACATATATTATTGAATGGTACATATGCTGTCTAGTAGCTGTGTGCATGTACGTATAGGGCATGGTTATTCCTATGGGCCGTGTATGTATTACTGAGTCAGGAAACGAATGTACGTCTTAATAATTTAGAAATCGAATTATACAATCTGAGACGTTATTAACAAATGATTCGATTCTTCCAGTAGTATGTCCAGATATGTATGTACTGTAGCTTTAATTTGTCATTGAACTAAAAAAAAATGGTCCATCTTCTGACTATAAACAACATATTTCCTACTACTACTACTCCTAATACTACTTTTACTTCACTACATTTGAAAGCAGGTATCTGTACTTTCTTTCTACTCCACTACATTTTTGAACACGATTGAAAAGTAAACGTAATTTTTGTTACAGTTTGAGACTTGCTGAAAAGGCTGAGAGTTTATTTGATCAAGTTCATAATTTGAGCCATAAAAATATACAAATAAAAACAGCGAGGATACTTTTTTGATTAAACACTTTCTGTTGAGCAAGATTCTGCACAAATCTTTAACAAAATTACAACATTTGAAGTTTTATAAGATTTCAAAATCTGCGTAAAATACTTGTTTTTTTACTCTTTAAGTACATTTTTAAACAGCTACTTTAATACTTTTACTTAATTGGATTTTTCATGTGATACATTTACATTTAGTTGAGTATTATTTTGCTAAAATGACAAAATTTGGTACTTCTTCTACCATTGCATATTGGTGGTTAGGTGGTTAGGTTACCATCTCCTGGCAATAACGGGAATTACTAATAGTTAAACAAGCCACAGCTAGAGTTATCAACTTTTTCCAGCATACTAACAGAAACATGTAGTTGCGCAGAATGTGTTTTAACTGTAGAAAAGCTCAGATTTTGATTTATGGAATGTAAAAACAGCTCGGTAAACCTTCATACTTTTACCTGTGACGTCACAAAACAGGGAATTTCTAAATGGCGTGTTCATATGGGGCTTACTACACAAGAATGCATCAAATAAGCATGCTTAAAACAAAATACAACAGCGGAAACAATATTATAACATTTCCAGAGTTAATTTGGGATGATGTGAGTTCTTTAAGTCTTTTATTACACAAAATTGATTCTTGTGAGCTTTAAGACATGTTATAATGTTGTTACCTCCTCAGAAACATAACTGGAATTGCATTCTTTTTTTTGTTTTTTTTTCACACGTTTGAGTAACTCTTTATTATTAGTCTGTCTACATCTCCAAAGCTCAAAATGCTCTGTTCCACCTTATGATGTCATGAAGCGGTAGTTTTTAAGTTAACATCTACTTTTTACCTTTAGTTCAGCGTAGATTTGCAATTCCAGGGCTGAAATAATCCAAATGATTCTTGTGAAGGTGTATGAAGTTTAAAAACACAGTGGAGCACTTCCTGTATTACCACAAAACCAGGATGTGTGTGTTTAACATGTGTGACTGAAACAAAACACAACCTCCACTTCAGAAATTTGCATAATATTGGCCCTTTTAGTAGACACTGATGATAAGTCTAAACCAGGACTGAACCAGGTCTAAGGACCAGCTCAGGACTCAAGATGAATCAAACCAGACATAAATATTTGATGTGATTTCTCTGTTGTGTTGCCAGATTCTGACGCAGGAAGACTGGAATAAGGTCCTGTACAACGGCATGGCCTCCACCACCCCCGTAGCCGCCCTGTACTTCATCGCTCTCATGACGTTTGGAAACTACGTGCTCTTCAACTTACTGGTGGCCATTCTGGTGGAGGGCTTCCAGGCAGAGGTACTGCTTTGTCTACAAGAACAAAATATAAAGATAGTTGGATAGAGTGGTGGATAAAAATGTCTTGTGTAAAAGTGGTTTCATACTTCACACACTGCACAGTTTGGAGTTTTGGAGTTTTGTTTTTGGTCCAAAGCTGAGGTCTAAATGCAAAATAGTAAGGTGCATTATAATTTTTCTTAGTTTTGATTTGTAGAATTTTTTTAAACGATATATTTTGAAGCTAAATGTGAAGTAAATTGAACACATAAATTGTTATACTTCAATCTGTTTTATTGTTTTGATTTGGTTGGGGGTCCATCACCTGCTTGTTTCTATGGATAGGCCATTGCTCTGCCTGGAATGTTCCTCAGTATGGCATTAAACAACGCTACCTTAAGCCCAATTTCTGATCGTACGTCGAGAGTCTGCGTCGCCTTGAACCTCCTCCACCTACACGTCGAAGCAAGGGAAAGAAACGCAGACAATAAGGGTTGTGGTCGGTCCTTTCTACATCCGCTCTACATACATTTCCGGTACTCCGCTTTCCCGCTAATTCAAAATAGGTACATTCCACCTTCTATGTCTTCTCTTTCGTTTCTTTGCCAACATTTGTACCAGAAGCATTTGTTCCTCGATATCTATCAGCTCCAACTCCATCAGCGTCCTCTCCCAGTCAGTCGCCGTGAATCAAAAACGACGGTGACCAGGCGATGTTGGACAGTGTGCGTTGAGTCGATGCAGAACTATAATTCTGCCGTTACATTTATTCAGTTGTAGGTGGTATTATAGCTCAAAAAATACTTAGAAAAACAGACATTCTGACTGTGAGCGGGGTCGCCTCTCCACAGATCTGACCTGTAACTCGGTCTGGTTTGATCTCCATGATAGAAAGGTTTAATACCATACTGTGAGACATTTCAGACAAAGCAATAACATCTCCATGTAAAAAAGCATTTGATGGACCCTTCACCAGAAAAGTTACACAATGCACCTTCAAATATACTTTTTTTGTGCAAACTAATATCCATAAGACGATTGTTTTAAGTCCAAAAAGCATGAGAAAGTGCAGGATTCGGCGAAACATCTACTGTACTGTACTGTAACTCCGATTTGACATACAATTATAGTCTTGTGGTTATTACTTTCCGCATAAATGATCAGCCCTGAACTTCCAAACTTCTAATCTACTTTTTTTTCAGAAAGTCTACGAGAAAAATTAATGAGAAATTTACTTCTGGAACCAATGGGGGGTGGGAGGTCACTGTTGAGCTCCATTATGCTCCTGTATTATGGTCCCAAAAGAAGGACTAAAGAGGTGACTGGCCGGACAGAGGACAGACTATTATGGGCTAGATTCTTTACAATAGTAGCAGTGTGTATGCGTCCTCTGTAGAAGTCTGTGGGGAGTGGTTGCCTGCTGTGAGGTGATACACTGACACCAGCTCTGATACTGATGGACCACAGCTCGATACAGGCACAAATCAATCCGCTTTTACATCTTAAAAGCTTCGGGGGGAGTTTGGTCCAAAGCAATAGAACGGGAAATTGTCCCAGCTTGCAGCTTACACACTTTAGACCTGAAGTCAGTTGTTTTTAGCTCAGTTCGGACTTTTATTTTTTTATTTAAAGCCACAGTATGCAACCTTATAGCCAAAAAAAAAAAAAACATACAAAATGAGAGCATGTTTATTTAATTTTTATTTTGTTCATTGTGGTTGTGTTCATTGCTTTGAAAAACAGGGGCGGCACCAGACATTTTCCTTGAGGGTGTAGTTCTTCACTCACAGGGTCAAAATGAGATCGTTGTGTGCTGTCTCCATCTAAATATAAAACGTTTTTTATTTATGAACAAAATAAGACTGGTGTGCTGTTAGCATGCTAGTTGTTGATAGCATGTCTGTGACGGTAAAAGCTCTTATAAACTCACTGTGAATAATTAGGATGCTAGGAATGCATTAGACAAGTGAAAAATAAAACATCGATCCATTTTAAACTATTTAAAATCACCTAATTCAGTTTTCTATGTTTTGAGAACAGCAAAAATCAACTGTATTTTACTGCTTTGCTGCCAAATTGATTATCGTAGTGCATATTTGGTATTTGGTAGCACTCACAACAAATTTAGCAAATATAAGAACCACGGTGAGCCTTAGATGAGGAACAGTTAGATCCTATAAAACATAAAACTTTATCCATTTAGTAGTGCACAAAGTTAGTCATCAAAATAATACATGTACAGTGGTAAAAGGCATTTAATTCATCAAATATATTTATTCAGCACAATACGCGTAAGTTAGAAAACCCTTGGCGAGCTACTTTCGAGGATAGTAGAAAGCTTCTAGCTCCCGAGCTGCAGGTTGGAGACTCCTGATACAGAACCTTTTATGGATATGAGTGAACCCCCACGCCCGTCATGTTTGAGTCGCTGTTCTAAAAAAAACTTTTTAATGTAGTTAGCTGCTGTAGTCATTTATAACACATAATATTAAATTCTTTCTTTATTGTAGTCACATTTTAGACACTCTACAGTTTCCATTTGAACATTTTTAGATGAGGTTGAATGTCTTAAGAAAATGGGGAAATCTTTGTGGGAGCTATGGGCGTGCATTGGTCATTCTCGGGGAGGATAGTGCCCCCTCAAGCCCACCCACCCTCTGGCGCTGCCCCTGTTGAGAAAAAAAAAAAAACGTCCTCACTTACTTACTGTGAACAGACTCACATCTCCACAAACCTGACTGTTATTTGACCTGAAGTATGGCCTTTCTCCTGCTTTTTTTCCATGGAAATTTGGTTCCTTTGGCTATAATCTTTTAGCCTGATTCATCAGCCGGTTTCACTTCGTAGAAACCATCTGACCTCGCAGCGTTAGAATTTGTTCGCTTGATGGTAGGCAGGTACTTTTTTCATTTAACCAATCGCTGCTATTTGGTTATGACGCATGGGGCTAGCTGGTATATTAAGTTTTCCCCAAATCCCATAGGAAGAAGAGCAATAACGTCTTTCCCCTTGATAAAATTCTCCAAACGTTCTCTTTATTCTGGCTTTAAATCCTGGATCTCGAGAATTGTTCACCACACAGAATATATGGCTCTTCGCTGGTTGCCTGTTGCCCGAACTTGAACTTCTGTGTTTTTGCGAACCATCTGGTGTATTTTGATTCCTGACCTAGTCGCTGGAGAGAAATGAAATTGAGCGGAGGCACTAGGTGGCGCCGGCCTGGCTAATAATCTTTCACAGTTTGGCATAAAACATATCACTCTCCATGAGGAATGTTCTGAAGTATGGTTTTAACGGTCTGTTTCCATAGAACCTGTTACCTGTTCCTAAACACGGTCACTTTGAATGACCAATCACAACAAAGCGTCCCTCTGAAGTGTACTATCTGACAGCAAATATTACAGTGGCACTAAACACCTAAACTCCGCCCACAAGCACATTTCAAAGAGAGCTGCTAAAATGGGCAGAACCTGGACGACTTGAGGCCATTTTATAGTTCTGCATCGACTCAACGCACACTGCCGCCGTTGCCTCGTCGCCATCGTTTTTTATTTATGAGGTCTATGCACCACAAAGTAATTCACCGACATGACAGGAGAAGGCTACGATTTAAAAATGGCGTTCGTGTTTACAAAATGAAACAGGAAAGCGGAGTACCGGAAATGTATGTGGAGCGACGGCAGAGAGGAGCAATCTCAGCCTTTATTGTCTGCGTCAACTTTCCCCTGCTGTCTGATTCGGTTCGACACGTAGTTACAACATTTCGGAGGTGCACATCGGTCGACGCAGACTCTCTACGTTGCGACGCAAATGATTTGACGCATGACCATGGGCAGTTCTATGTGATGTCATGTAGTACTTGAAATCGCAGAGGATACAGTACAATAACAAAAACATGAATTTAGAGTTTAGTTTAAGAAATTGGCAATACATTTTAGATCATGGCAAAGTGTGATGGCATTCAAAGATAACATTTTTTCCCATTACGTAGAAGTTCTAATATCACCAAAAGTACAAAAGTAGATGGTCAAAGTTACACTGAAATATAAAATGTAAAAAAAAACAACTTTAGTATGTGTTGAGATCAGCAGGAGCCTATAGTTTCCTCTCATTCTCTTCTGTCTTATTCAACTTTACTTCTTTCCTCCAGAACAAGTTTATTTTTAGTCTGTCCAAACTTCTCCGTTGCTTAGTTACGCTCGTCTGAAAGCTGTAAGGGTGTTAGGAGAATTTTCTTCAAAGCCAAGACGCAAGCGCATTTTTAATGGGTGTGCATGAACATGAGACATGAGCCAGTATTTTGGTATTCGTATTAAAAGCGTAAAAGAGTATGGAACTTTCTGAACTGCCACGTGATCTGTATGATTCAATGGAAGTAGAAAGCGAAAGCCATACTGTAGTTCGGAACATTGTCCATACAGATAAATTTGTTTTAGGCCATACTGTGGGAGATTATAACCAAAGGAACAATATTTCCATGGAAACAAGCTGAAGGAAGCCAGGTTTGTGGAGATGCAAGTCCGTTCATAGAAAGGACAAAAAACACACAAATACATATTTCTCTTTGTCCATTTTTATTTTATTTTATTTTTTGGCTAAAAGTTGGCATACTGTGACTTTAAAGTGTAAATACTGTTATGTTGACTATGTTTCAGTGAAATAACCTGCAATCATTTTCTTTACTAAGGGTTTTTGTTTTACTGTTTTGGAAAAATGAAACCAAAAAGCCTGTTGTTTCCTCACAAATATACAGAAGGATTATAATGATGATAACTATACAAGATGACTGCGGTGTTGAACTTTACTTTACGCCAGTTTTTGTGCCATGTGGATTGACTCAGTAATTATAGATGTAAACCATAAATGAGTCACGAATTTACAAAAAAATAAATACATATAACAGGATCTTGGGATTAGGTAGAAAGGACTGATTTAACCTCCAAGGACCCGAACTCTTGCACGGCATCTTTTATTGATTTCTCTTTGTTATTTGGGTTGTTTGGGACCTGATGAGTGCAAAA